AACCATCCACTCAGTCTGAATGGAGGATAGCCATGGCACAGTGAGATCAAAGGTCAAAACAACAAGAAGAAAAAGAAATGTGATAGCCAGTGTCAAGTTTAACGAGAATGGAAAAGAAGGAAGGAGAAACAACTCTTTATTTAAATAAATAGGAAAGAGACGCATTACTCGTTGTCTTCGTTTAGGCGAGACAACAGAAACCATAACATCAAAATTCCCATGAATCATGTGAGGTTGGTTTTCTTAAATGCAAACATTTTTCTACAGGCTACAAATGATACAGACACAACATCCTCTCCAACATATAAAAATACTATGACAAAAACGAATGCATTATAAGATTATTATAATATATATTACAATCTGTTAGGTTGTTACTGTATGTAGATGTGCTACAGTTATAACAATAACGATAACAATAAAAGCTACATTAGTTCAATTCTGGACCTTTATGAACATTTTGAATCAAAGGCTAAAATTCAAACCATGTTAAAACTAATATAAGTTTTAGTTTCACATCCATATAAATAACATGACATCATATATAAAAGCTACATTGTCTGTGTGGCATTCCTATGGTACGTTCACTGGTTCGGGACAAATTGGAGAGGGAGTGTTTGATTCCAAAAAGCAGGCTGCATCGCTGGATAATGACGTTCATTACAACAGGACGACTTCTTCTTGTTGGAAGCATCTTCCAATGACAAACACACATACACACAGGTTTTTGTACTTCTACACATGTAAGGATCCTCCTTCACACAATAACACCTTCTGTAAGGCCTTAACCTTAACTCTCCGCACGCCAAACGTTTCCAGTCAACATGATATCAGGACAGATTCCACATGTCACGTATTTAACTTTTCGGGTGTCATTTTGCTTCACTAAATGACACGAGGAAGCGCCAGGGTTAAGGTCAGGGTGTGGTTGTCAATCATGGTGTGAACTGATGCGCGAAAAGCAAAAAATGCATAGTGATAACACATTAAATTATCATGGTATTTCATGACACCAGGCTGTTCCAGCTGGCTGGATATCATTTTAAATTTTTAAATACTTTTGCCAGTATAGGAGTATTCCACCTAAACAAAGACAATTTCCGAAAACAAATGTAATTGCTAATGTTTCAGTCCATGTATTAAAAACTATACACAACCAACCAAGTATTCCTTTCCTTTTTTGTTCAGTACAACATGTTGCTAAAGAATTTGGTTTTAATTGTCCAATTTGTTACAGTGAAGATCAAATCTAAAAATTACGTTATTGCTGCAAGGAAAAGTAGAGGAAATTTCAGCAAAAATTGGAAATATTTTGTTGAGGAATTGATATGTTTCTTTGTCGGGCTATTATGACATTAGAAAGCAACACTTTGGGCTGTGGTGAATTCTGAAAGCCTTACTAAGCTGAGAAATTTAGGCAAATGATAATTCATCATTATTATTATTAAAAATAATTATTATAGTAGTAGGTGCAATGCATCTTAGACTGCTCTAACTGCTTTAGAGTAATCAACAATTACTTTCAAGTTTCACTGTCATGGATTATGTGAGGAAACAAATTATCAAAAATTTCAAAGAATTTTCATGTATTTTGTAAATTAATAGCCTGGGAATAGGAAGTTTGCTCAAATTAAGCATAAATTTAAGAGCAAAGTATTCTTTAATGCAGAGTTTCACAACTCTGAGATTTAATCCCCAGCTCTAACCTCAACCCTGCCTAACCCTAAATAAAGTCTTAACCTTCAATCAGCCCTTTAAATTTGCAAAGTGCAATGTCCTCACTTTAAAGAGATTTTAAGAGGTCCTCACAAATGAGAAGAACAAGAACACACACACACACACACACACACATACTGCTGGTCTAAACTGTGAAAATTTGAGTCTGTTAAGCAGCAAAGTGAATACATCACACACTAACTAATGCCTCTGTCACCTTTAACCTCTAGTGTGTGTTCATGTCAAGAAATGGAACAAGATGACCTTCGACATCATTGTGGATTTAAGATTGAAGACGACAGTTTCTTACCGGACTGCTTTCAAAAAGTAGGTGGGAACTTCGGATTATTTTATTTACCACTTTAAACAACAATGAGTTTGCTGCCATCTTTGCCATCTGCATTACCAACGGGACACATGTATCAACAGAAATGTATGTTACTTTTTGGTGTGTTTGCACGTGTGAACACACACTATAAATAATATATATATATATATATTATTTATAGTGTGTGTTCACACGTGCAAACACACCAAAAAGTAACATACATTTCTGTTGATACATGTGTCCCGTTGGTAATGCAGATGGCAAAGATGGCAGCAAACTCATTGTTGTTTAAAGTGGTAAATAAAATAATCCGAAGTTCCCACCTACTTTTTGAAAGCAGTCCGGTAAGAAACTGTCGTCTTCAATCTTAAATCCACAATGATGTCGAAGGTCATCTTGTTCCATTTCTTGACATGAACACACACTAGAGGTTAAAGGTGACAGAGGCATTAGTTAGTGTGTGATGTATTCACTTTGCTGCTTAACAGACTCAAATTTTCACAGTTTAGACCAGCAGTATGTGTGTGTGTGTGTGTGTGTGTGTTCTTGTTCTTCTCATTTGTGAGGACCTCTTAAAATCTCTTTAAAGTGAGGACATTGCACTTTGCAAATTTAAAGGGCTGATTGAAGGTTAAGACTTTATTTAGGGTTAGGCAGGGTTGAGGTTAGAGCTGGGGATTAAATCTCAGAGTTGTGAAACTCTGCATTAAAGAATACTTTGCTCTTAAATTTATGCTTAATTTGAGCAAACTTCCTATTCCCAGGCTATTAATTTACAAAATACATGAAAATTCTTTGAAATTTTTGATAATTTGTTTCCTCACATAATCCATGACAGTGAAACTTGAAAGTAATTGTTGATTACTCTAAAGCAGTTAGAGCAGTCTAAGATGCATTGCACCTACTACTATAATAATTATTTTTAATAATAATAATGATGAATTATCATTTGCCTAAATTTCTCAGCTTAGTAAGGCTTTCAGAATTCACCACAGCCCAAAGTGTTGCTTTCTAATGTCATAATAGCCCGACAAAGAAACATATCAATTCCTCAACAAAATATTTCCAATTTTTGCTGAAATTTCCTCTACTTTTCCTTGCAGCAATAACGTAATTTTTAGATTTGATCTTCACTGTAACAAATTGGACAATTAAAACCAAATTCTTTAGCAACATGTTGTACTGAACAAAAAAGGAAAGGAATACTTGGTTGGTTGTGTATAGTTTTTAATACATGGACTGAAACATTAGCAATTACATTTGTTTTCGGAAATTGTCTTTGTTTAGGTGGAATACTCCTATACTGGCAAAAGTATTTAAAAATTTAAAATGATATCCAGCCAGCTGGAACAGCCTGGTGTCATGAAATACCATGATAATTTAATGTGTTATCACTATGCATTTTTTGCTTTTCGCGCATCAGTTCACACCATGATTGACAACCACACCCTGACCTTAACCCTGGCGCTTCCTCGTGTCATTTAGTGAAGCAAAATGACACCCGAAAAGTTAAATACGTGACATGTGGAATCTGTCCTGATATCATGTTGACTGGAAACGTTTGGCGTGCGGAGAGTTAAGGTTAAGGCCTTACAGAAGGTGTTATTGTGTGAAGGAGGATCCTTACATGTGTAGAAGTACAAAAACCTGTGTGTATGTGTGTTTGTCATTGGAAGATGCTTCCAACAAGAAGAAGTCGTCCTGTTGTAATGAACGTCATTATCCAGCGATGCAGCCTGCTTTTTGGAATCAAACACTCCCTCTCCAATTTGTCCCGAACCAGTGAACGTACCATAGGAATGCCACACAGACAATGTAGCTTTTATATATGATGTCATGTTATTTATATGGATGTGAAACTAAAACTTATATTAGTTTTAACATGGTTTGAATTTTAGCCTTTGATTCAAAATGTTCATAAAGGTCCAGAATTGAACTAATGTAGCTTTTATTGTTATCGTTATTGTTATAACTGTAGCACATCTACATACAGTAACAACCTAACAGATTGTAATATATATTATAATAATCTTATAATGCATTCGTTTTTGTCATAGTATTTTTATATGTTGGAGAGGATGTTGTGTCTGTATCATTTGTAGCCTGTAGAAAAATGTTTGCATTTAAGAAAACCAACCTCACATGATTCATGGGAATTTTGATGTTATGGTTTCTGTTGTCTCGCCTAAACGAAGACAACGAGTAATGCGTCTCTTTCCTATTTATTTAAATAAAGAGTTGTTTCTCCTTCCTTCTTTTCCATTCTCGTTAAACTTGACACTGGCTATCACATTTCTTTTTCTTCTTGTTGTTTTGACCTTTGATCTCACTGTGCCATGGCTATCCTCCATTCAGACTGAGTGGATGGTTTATGGCTGCTCATGGAGACAGGGGAAGAGAGGATGAGAGAGTGGTGGAAAGGCTGAGAGCGAAAGGGGTTGGAAAAGAAGAAGAACGGTAGATGGAGCGACGAGGGAGGATGGGTGGCTGCTTTTGAGGAATGACGGATAGATGCAGAAGAGGGATATCCCTTTGGGTGGGAGTTGGGGGAGGAGTTAGCATTCGGAGACCAAAGCCGTTTAATGAAACTGTGATTTATGCATCCCTTCGTAGCCATAAAACATAATATATACCCCCATCGGCTTTGACAGAGCCTCTCCTCCCCCAGCGCGCACACATGCAGAAATACACACACTCTGAAACCTGCTGCATATCTCCGTTGCCCCTACCTCCACCTCTGCAAACCATCCAGCTGCCCCCCTCTTCTCAACCTTTCGTCACTGCCATTTTTAACCCTTCCCCCTCTCCTCTTCTCTCCACTGACTTCTCTATTCTCCTCTGGCTCTTTGGGTCTTTAAAGGAGGATTGAGTCACTGCAGCAGCAGCACCTTCCCAACCCCCCAATTCCA